CATTAATACTGACCAGTATCTGGAGATGGAGAGGAAGAAAAGACTGTTTGGTTCTAGTTTTCTTCTTACTAAGAAGAAAGTTTGTTTTTCGTATAGTTTAGTGATTTCTGTTAGTGATCTACTCCATCTATGTATTCATCAAATTATGCTGTTCTCTAGAGGCTTATTTCTGGATTAATTTATGTTAATCCGTAAACTTCCACAAGTACTGGACAGACAGGCACTTTTTAACAAAGGTATGCTAATCTTTTCAATCCTAGTCAATACATAATGGTGAACAAGTTTTAGTATTCATTAGCCACTCAGTATTTTATTACTATAGTATCCATTTATCATCTATATAAATAATGTAATGTTCGTTTGTGGGATTAACATAATTCAAAAACCACTGAACAAATTGACACGAAATACACCTAACAGTCCAAAGAGTGTGCATCACCCCTAAAAACACACACACACACAAACCCCAGTAGAATAGACTTAAAAAACCTCAAAATTCATCATATATACAGATACACATACACTCATATACATATATGCATGCATACATTCATACACACACTCGTGTGTGTGTGTGTGTGTGTATGCAAAATACACCAATATACACATACATATACATACACACATATATACATATACACATGCACACACATATACACAATATGCTTGAACACATATAAACACACAAATACACAAATATACACACGCACACACATATATATACACCCACATATATATGCAAACACACATATATACACAAATATATACACACACATAAACACATATCTGCACACACGAAACACATGTAAAAGGACAGGGCCACAGCAATGCATAGCATGAGACGGCTGGTCTATATAAATAGAAATGTAATGTTCATTTGTGGGATTAACGTAACTCGAAAACCACTGGACGAATTGGCACCAAATTTGGACACAAGACACCTATCAGGCCAGCAAATGACCATCACTCATAAAAACACTGAAGAGATTTAAAAAGCCAAAAAAAAAACCAACATTGCAACACATGCGCAAAACCACATATATATATGCAAACACATGTATATACACATATACACAAATATACACTCACACATATATACACAGACTGGGCCACAGAAACGCGTGGCAGGGGACGGCTAGTATATAATAAGATCAAAATCTATGAATCTGGATGGAATGAGCAGTGTTTTTCTTTTATATATCCATGTGGATATACCATTTAGTAGTGAAATATAACAAGATCAAACTAAATGTAGTTGATGAAGACCACCATGATTTAAAAGCCTGAGATAATGTCAGTCTTTTAAGAATGAGAAGCTCAGATCCTAAAGTAGTTCAAAGGTACCTAAGATTAGCTGCTTATAAAACACAGATATTCATTTGTAGTGATGGGCTTATTGGGTATCAACCAGGTTAACACTGACTAATCCAGAGCAATACAGAAGAAGAGATTTGACTCCTTTAATCTAACAGGAGTCTGCAATGTATTGGTTTGTTGACTCATCCAGGCAGTTCATAGCTTTCTCAACTTGAAATTTTTTCTCTCTCTCTCTCTCTCTCTCTCTCTCTCTTTCTCTCTCAATCCTTTGTAGTTTGGCCTAAGAACTGCTGTCTGGGGAGAGACAGACTTCAGAACCACTTTGATATGTCCTCCAAATTATACCCTTCTTACGTTCTTTATATATTGAAATAGATCCAAAGCGTTCAAAGCCTTAAAGCTGTTTGTATGAGTCTATACTAGGAATTTGTGCAGATGACTACATGCAGACTGTGATTGTTTTTGCATTACCTCCAGCCTTTCACATATGACAACAAGATCAGACTGCGCTCAAGATAGCCATAACTATTAACACCCAGGCTACAAGAGGCAGTAGCATTTGTCTCTTGCCTAAGCCACATGTCAAATTCAGGTCAGCAGATCGAATCTGGTCCCCCCACCCTCCGTCATGCCGTTTTATGTGGCTCTTCAGATACTAGACTACATACTCCTGTATTGCGCACATAACTAGAGCTGATGGGACTTGTGATATAGTAACATCGTTCTGTTTAATCAGGATATTTCAGTTTTAATGTATAAACAAGACTTGTGGATATGATTTGTAACTTTAAAGTATCCTTTGACTTTTTCCCAACCTCAGAGCCGTTGGGATGCAATTCCTATTGTTCCCAGTCCACATGGCAGATAATAAAAAATGATGGCAGCTGTCATTCAATAACATCTGAGGACCCAAATTGAGTAAAAACAAAAGAACATTGACCAATATTCTATCTATCTATCTATCTATCTATCTATCTATCTATCTATCTATCTATCTATCTATCTATCTATCTCTGGTCCTGTTTATCTATGGATTCTCCATCTATGGATTCAACAACTCTTTGAAGTCAACCATAAGGCCATAGATGAAAATGACTTGACATCCTGGCCTAAGCCTACAGCAAAGAGCAAAAATCTGCCTTCTCCTCTCATCTCCTCCTGAGTTTATTGAATGCAAACGACTTTCAAATCTTGTGGCAATAGTAATAAGTTGTGAACAAAGTGGGGAAGGAGAATGAGGAAGAAACTGGGGCATTTTAAAAACAGGTGGAAATTCAGCAGGACTTTACCAGCTAAATCAGAAAAGTTAGAGGGCATTTCTTTTATATCATTCCGTTCAGGAGACTGTGGACTCAAAACAATCCCCTAGACATGATAGTCAGTTGCACTGTGCAGAGGCTTGTGGGACATGGTAATCTTTGGGCAAAAAATTTGCACAGATCCAGTTTTGTGGGGTCAGAGGTACAGATGTGACAATGAAGAAGTACAGTCTCCTTAGGATCCAATAGACAGGTAGTGTGCCCCCATTTACCTACTGCTACCCACTCCTGCTTTATAGTGTAAGTTCAAAGTGTTTGCCATTTGGTGTTGTAGAAATCTACATACTTGATTAAAGTTTATCTAGTGGAATCAAAATTTCATTTAATTCATTATATTCAATGAAATTCTGGAATTGATCCATCAAGTATTTAGGTATTTTCTTTAATAAACATGTTTCGTTTATGGAATTTCTGCTATAAAAAGCACGATATTTTTACTATTTTGTGTCAGACTTGGCCGTTAGATTTCAGCTAAATAGCTAGACTTAATTTATCATAGATTTATCAGTCTGACCCACACTTCAACGTTTCTATTCAAGTTTAGGTCCGACTGATAAACTGTGATAATTAGAGGGTGAGCAAAAGAATTATTATATTGCTCCATCTTGCTTGGAACATAATTTGAAATAATTACAAGGATTGTAGATGCTATCATTCCAGAATTTGTTTCATTCAAATCAAAAGTGACGTCTTCAACCTCAACCTGGCCAACATCCAATGAATTTCCTAATTCATTCTTTTTCTTAATGAAGAAGATACGTGTGATTGCAAGGGTCTTCTGTGCACCCCTTATGTATCCTCTTGGCACCCTTCTAACTTAAAATGTCTCAAACTATATATTAATATGCAGACTAGTCTCCTAACATATTTTAAGATTACAGTAATTCTAAATTTTCAAAAATTCCATTGATTTGAAGATTGCTATAGTGCCTTTGTGGAATGAGATTATAACAAGACAACAAGAATATAAAAATGAAGAAAAACTTCTGCAAATATAAATTGATCTTCTAGCTCTATGTGTGATGTCAGGCAGTGTTTTCTCAACTTTTATGTAAACACCACATTTGTTGTAAGACACCTGCCAAAAACTCAATACAACCTCCGTTGCTGCGTTTGCTGAGGGTTTTTGGGGGGGGTGGGGGTGGGGGGTGCTTTCTTGGTACAAGAAAGCCAGATAGGGTTTCAGAAATCTCCTTCTTCAGCTTTGGTGTTAATGGCACTAAAAGATCTGTATCTTTGATGTTGATGACTAATTTTTTCCTAATTGTCAATGAATCAACATTCCATGAAAGTTTTACAGTTTTTGTAATGTATGTCTATGAAACTCAAAGCACCTGAAATCAAAGGCAGTACTTGTCTGGAAGCACTTTTGTTTGATGGCAGGTGTGTTATGTTATAATTGAAAAGGACTTTCAGAGTGTTCACATATATCTATTGTGCAAATGTCATGTTAGATATGCCCTATAGTGCTTTTTCTCCAATTAAATTATTATACTTTGTAGTATTTGTGATTGCTGTGTTTAGCAGAGCTACTGTATTCCAGGCCCCTTCTACACTGCCATATAATCAAAATAATCCATATTATCCGCTTTGAACTGGATTATATGAGTCTACACTGTCTTATGTTCCAGCTCAAAGCAGATCGTCTGGATTTTAAATGGCAATGTAGAAGGGATCCCAGATAGGTATACCGATACTTAAGGTATGGGTGGCAACATTGTGGTTCTTTAAATATTGGACAACATTGTATTGGCGTAGGCTTTCATTGCCGGAATTACTGGGTTGTAAGTTTTTCAGACTGTATGGCCATGTTCCAGAAGCATTCTCTCCTGATGTTTCGCCTGCATTTATGGCAGGCATCCTCAGAAGTTGTGAGGTCTTGGATGACAGTTCCCCATTAGCTATGAGTTGTTCAAGTCCAAAAACATCAGGATAATGGCATTTTTCTAGCCCTTGACCTTAAGGTAAAGCTACTGAAGCAGAAGCAAAGGTTGGAAGCATTTTGTTTAGATCCAAATAAAGTAGACCCACTGAAACAATTAACAATGGCTGAGTCGAAATATAGGTAAATCCCACTGATTCTATGGTCTACTATAATCGGGACTGACAATAGGATTTTAGCCAATGTGTGAAAACTGAATGCCATTAGGTTCCAATAAATGGATGAGCTGCAGTATTATTTGCAATGGAAGATTTTGCTGAAAATCTGCAAAAATATAAAACATTAAAGTTTTGAATTATGTGATAACTGCTATGCTTGTGGAAAGCATCAAAACACATAACTTGTTAATGAATGACTAGATCATAGTTTATTTGTATTGTGTTTTGTAACCATCAGTGTTATTTTTGTCCCCTTTTCTGCAGTTGACAAGGGCAAGCAGAAGAGTCCTAAGAACTCATGCCTACAGACCCGGATTACTGGTGCAGTGCATCCCACAGAAACAAAAACACATGAGCTGACACAATACAAAAGAAAATGTGAAAACCAAAGTGGAATTATCCAACAACTGAAGAAATGTTTTGCAAGCAGCAATCGGAAGTTTGAAGCGTTAGCTCTTGTGATCCAACACATCCAGTCTGAGGTAAATTTTCTGGAGTTCTAAATATGTTTTTAATTGATGGTATTTGTTTGCTTCTTTGTCACCTTACCTAGTGAACTGCTTAGACTGTTTTTAAAACAGTTAGGAGGAATAATAGAAGCCTAGGGTTTAAATGCTATAGCAGAAATATGTGCATCCCCTTGCCATGTGTAGGGATCTCAAGATACCCTCAATTGGGATTTTTATTCATTTGAATTGGGCTTTTGACTACCCTCCTTTAATTATTCAAAACATTGGAGAAGAAATTTATCCAATTGGCAAAGTTTCTGTGCTCCAATAATAACAATATACCTAGTAATGAGAGTGCATTTGATCCTATGTCCCATTTGAGGGTAGGCAAAGAGCAGGGAAGGTGTCACTCCTATCCCCTTTGAATAAGTGTTTTCGGTTTGGGTAGTGGTGACTATTCGCATATACAACCCTGGGCAGGTAGGTCTTTGGCTGGATCTACACTGCCCTGTATTCCAGAATCTGATTCTAGATTATCTGCTTTGTAGTGGATTATATGAGTCTACACTGCAAATAATCTGGGATAAGCAGAAAATCTGGGATCAGATCCTGGGATATAGAGCAGTGCATATCCACATTTATCACAGGTGTGGGCAAACTTTGGCCCTCCAGGTGTTTTGGACTGCAATCCCCACAATTCCTAATAGGAATTGTGAAAATTAAGTTCAAAACAAGTAATGAGCCAATGTTTGCCTGTGCCTGCTTTATCTCTATTATTGAAAATGATTTCATGGCATTGAGCACATTATGGAAGGTTTCAAAAGGCACTTTTAACATTATTGTGTGAAACGAAAAAGGATTAACAGGTTGGATTTGGATGTTGAATGTTGGACTGAAAATAATTTTTCTTATCCACCTCTTCTCATGGCTCGAGGCAGGACACAACATAGTTAAAGCGCATCATCATCATCAAAACATGTTAAAATACATGGAAGAATTTGAAATTCATAGTTCAAACAGATTGGGTAGGCCTGCCGGAAGAGCTGACTCTTGTGGTCTCTTCCAACTCTGAGTCTATGAGCAGTTACTAGACCTAGTTCAAAAAGGTCTAGTTCTAAAAGCAGTGATGTCATCAGTGTTTACTTGTGACATCTTTGTTGTCTTAGTAACTAACTGTCTATCCCAGCTGTCTCATTACCTTGATCTTGAGTAAGGATTGAGGCAGTTTCGTTGTGTCTTAAGGCAAAGGCGAAACTTTTGTGATGGGGTGCCAGTGCGCCAAACCCTTTCGCTCACGCTCCTCTAGGAGAGCAGCAGTAAGTCATTTAGTCTGGGCAATTTGCTCATTTACAAGACTGAAATAGAATATATTAATATGGACATAATAGTGTTATGCTTCTTTAATGCCATTTTAAATGTATTTATTATGTTTTAATTCTGTTTTTACCACACTGTTATTATTTAATTGGGTTTTTAAAAAGCTTTTGTATTGGACTTTTTAAACTTTTCTAATGTGAGATTGTTAGCCACCTTGAGTCCCCACAAGAGGAAGACAGGGTATAATTAAGTTATTAATAATATTAATAACAGTGCAATATAAAAACAATTTTTAAAGCACAGTATTCACCACCATTTAAGAAACTGGTTATTGGGTGTTGACTGAGGAAATCTTTTATTTACAATAGCATTATACATTATACTTTTGTAATACAACTTTAGACATTTTTGGAATATCTTTGAATATGTATGCATACATAGGGAGAGAGAATGAGAGAGAGAGGGAGGGAGAGGGAGAGAGAGAGGTGGAAAATTATTGTAAACACAACATAGTATGATATACATAAAGAGACAATGGCAGTCCCTGCATTACAATCATTCGACTTACAAATAATTAAGAACTGGGGTTGAGACAACAAAAACTGAGAGAAATCTAATCCTCAGAAGAGAAATTCACTCCTGAATTAACAACAAGCATTTTTTTTCAAAATCAAATTATCACAGGGAAGTGAGGTGAAATCTTCTGAGCAGGGACACAAATAGCAAAACTAACACCACAGGTGTGTTAGTCATTCCCTGTCATATTGAAGGGCACCCTGCTGGCACAGCGGGTTAAATCGCTGAGCTGCTGAACATGCTGACCAAAAGGTTAGCGGTTCGAATCCAGTGAGTGGGGTGAGCTCCTGCTGTTAGCCCCAGCTTTTGCCAACCTAGCAGTTCAAAAACATGCAAATGTGAATAGATCAATAGGTATTGCATCTGCAGGAAGGTAACAGCTCTGCATGCAGTCATGCTGGCCACATGACCATGGAGGTGTCTGTAGACAGCGCCGGCTCTTCAGCTTAGAAATGGAGATGAACACCACTTCCCAGAGTCAGGCACAACTAGACTTAATGTCATGGGAAAACTTTATCTTTACTTACGCTATCCAAAGCTTGTGTGTAACTCCAGCCATATATATTTGGCTGGAGTTACAATTTAAAATGTACCTGTGTTCTGACTTACATACAAATGCAACATGGGGACTTTACCAGATCTTCTAATGTAGAATATTTATTGCTGAACCTCTTTTTGGTTTATAACAAAACAGCAGTGTGCTACTAGTACTTAGGAGCCATCTATCTGAAAGTAATCCTAGTTTGCTCCTGTGGTCACAATGGCAATGGTGCATGCTTTCTGCATTTTTTTTTAATCTTTAGATCTTGACATCTCCATTCCCCTTATCATGTTTAGAGACATCCTCAAGATACTCTCAATTGGGATATTTATTAATGGGAACTGGGCTTTTGACTACCTTCTTAATTACTCAAAACATCAGAGAAGAAATGTGTCCAATTGGCAAAGTGTCGTACTCCAATAATGATGGCAAAGTGATAATAAATTTAAAGCAAAACGGAATGAGGTTGATTGATGACCTCTTAAACCCAGGAAGGACAATTAAAGATTGGGAGATGATAAAAGATAAATGTGGATAAAGGATAAATAAATTTCCAATGTCTAGAGAGTTCCAAAACTTTATGTGTATGCGCAAGAAATGTGCATTTCAAAAAGACCACAAAGAAGAAACAGGTTTTGATCAAATTTTAAAATGGAAATTATAAAAGGAGAAAGACTTAGTGGGTTTCATATATAGGAAAATAGTTGAAAAACAATATAAACTGAAACCATTGGTGGAGATACGGAAAGAAGATCTAAACTGCAATGTGATAGACATTAAACACTGGATTAACTCAATCGAAAAAATTAAACATATAAGGACTAGAGAAACACAATGGAAAACATTGACCAAATGGTATAGAACCCCCACTTAAAATAGCCCATATAATTAAATCAACATCAAACCTATGTTGGCACAAATGTGGTGAAATTGGCTCTTTTATGCACATGTGGGATTGCCATAAGATACAAAAAAATTGTAATAAAATAAAGAGGTGGAAGAATTAGTAGGGCAAAATGGAGAGCTCAATAAAGGACAATTTTTTACCCAGGAAATAGATGGTAAAAGCATCATGGGCTAATATCATAAAATATATGATAGAAACTGCCAGAGCAACTATAGATCTGGGTTGGAAAGAGCATAGAAAATGGAAATTTTAAATTGTTTGAATATTTAGCAGACTTCATGCTCCAGGATTAAATTTCAAAAGGAGAATTAGTACACAACAGGCTATTTCAGGAAGAATTGGGGTTCAAATGGGAAATGTTGATAGCTACAGTAAAAGGAAAAATAAAATATAAATTGGAATTATACAATCTTCATGATTGATCAATTAAACTATCACTTGAATTGAGGATACAACTGTTCCCGGAGGGTAGGGGGCAAGGTGGGAGGAACAAAAACCATTGGGACATGAGTGGGAGATAAGTATGGAATTGGTAAGGTTAAGAAAATTGGACCTATCAAACTGAAAGAAATTGTGAGTGGAATATCATTATTAGTTCATTTTATTTGACCTTGCCAAATTGTTACTGAGATTTCTACCATTCTGCTTGTGTTTACAATAAAGAATTAAAATGGTTTTTAAAAAACCAGGAATGATAGTTTGCGTACTAATGACAGTGCATTTGATCCTATGTTCCATCTGATGGTAGGGAAAGAGCAGGAAAAGTGTCATTTCTACCTCCTTTGAGTAAGTGTTTTGGTTTGGATAGTGGTGACTGGATTTCCCCATATAGAGACCTGAGGCAGATACAGGCATTATCGCAGGCATGGGCAAACTTTGGCCCTCCAGGTGTTTTGGACTGCAACTCCCACAATTCCTAACACCTGGTAGGCTGTTAGGAATTGTGGGAGTTGTAATCCAAAACACCTGGAGGGCCAAAGTTTGCCCATGCCTGCTTTATCTCTATTACTGAAAATGTTTTTATGGCATTGAGCACATGGAATATTTCAAAAGGCACATTTAACATTGTGTGAAAGGAATTAGCAGGGTTTGGACTTGGATGTTGAATGTTGGAATGAAAATAATAACAATACATTTTATTTATTATCCACCTGTTCTCATGGCTCAAGGCAGGGCACAATATAATTAAAATGCATAATCATAAAACATGTTAAAATACGTGAAACAATTTTAAATTCATAGTTAAAACTGACCGGGTAAACCTGCTGAAAAAGATAGGTCTTCAGTTGTCTCTTAAATTTCAGCAGCTAATTTAACTGTTGGAACTCTTCCAGGAAATCGTTCTATAGTCATGGGGATAGATTTTACTTGGGAAAGAAGGAGGTGCACTCATCAGTTTTCCCCAACTTAAAGTGAGTAGAACCTGGGCTTCAAAGTAAAGGCACCAGACCATTAAAATACAGAAGTAAATGTCCATATACCGGATTTTCTAATGTAGAATATTTATTGCTGAATATTTATTGCTCTTTTAGGTTTATAACAAAGCAGCAATGAGCTACTAGTACTTAGGAGCCACCTATCTGGAAGTAATCCTAGTTTTCTCCTGTGGTCACAATGGTGATGGTACATCCTTTGAGCATTTTTCACCCCCATTCAAATTAATGCAAAACTATTTGCGAGGGAACAGGTGTC